CATGTGTAAAGCCGTCTTTTAGGTTGTTGGAAGAGTTTGTTATACACAGCGAGTTTTCCTGGCAAAATTCTATCAGCCTGCGTCCCGCTTCATTTTGTTCTCCCAGACCATGCTTGCCTGTGATCCCAGTTGTCATTTGACTTCCCACCTTGGCATTCCAGTCTCCTGTAATGAAAATAATGTCTCTTTTTGGTGTATTATCCAGTAGGTCCTGCAGATCCTCATAGAACTGATCTACTTCTGCTGCTTCAGCAGCTGTGGTTGGGGCGTATATTTGGATCACTGTAATGTTGAAAGGCTTTCCTTGCACTCGAATTGAGATCATTCTGTCATTTTTTGGGTTGTATCCAAGCACTGCTTTAGCGAATTTCTTATTAATTATGAAGGCTACTCCATTTCTTCGATGTTCCTCTTGTCCGCAGTAGTAGATTTGGTGGTCATCTGATGTGAAGTGGCCCATTCCAGTCCATTTCAGTTCGCTGACCCCCAGAATGTCTATCTTTAGTCTTGACATCTCACCAATAACAACATCCAATTTGCCCTGGCTCATAGATCTTACATTCCAGGTTCCTATGGTGTGTTGATCTTTAGAGCATCGGATTCGTCGTTCACCTCCAGCACCATCGGCCGCTAGCCTTCCTTTCGGCTTTGAGTTAGCTGCATCATCATATCTGGGGCTAGTTGAACTTATCCTCTGCTCCTCCCCAGTAGCATTTTGGCCATCTTCCGACCTGGGAGTCCCATCTTCCAATGGCATACCGACATATCTCTGGTTGTACTGGTCCATTTAGTTTTCTTGGCAAGGATACTGGGGTGGTTTGCCGTTGCCTTCCCCAGGGATCACGCTTGGTCTGACCTCTCTGCCACGACCGTCCCGTCTTGGGTGGCCCTTCACGGTTTCGCTCATGACATCATTGAGGTGCTCAAGCTCCAGCCCACAACAAGGCGGTGACCCTTTGCTGGAGTATTCTGGATTAGAGTGGGATTTATTATCTTTTCAAAATGAGGCCATCTGTCGTATACCAGAGCAGGAACACTTCTGACCTTAAACACCACACCAGCTTGGTGAAATCATCAAGTAGTTTATTGTAGAATATATTTAGGCAAAACAGTAAAACACTAAAGGTCCAAAATCCAAGTCAGTCCATAAGATTCAAAGGAAAGCAAGATCTATGAGTACATAGAAATCCATGAAACAAGCCATTTGAAACCATGAAACAAAACAGCAGGAAAATCCCATAGGCAAAACTTAAGCTTAGGAAAAACTTGGTGCATGAAACTCGGAGCACTTGAAAGCAAGACCGTGATAAAATAACAACGTTGACTCGACTGAGGCAACTGTCTCCCATGAATTATTATAAACCTTTTCTAGATGACAAAACTGAAAGGAAATAATTTTTCTTGACCTTCCCACTAGATAATGATTTGTTATCTCTCTTTTGCTGTAGCTGGACTGATCGCCTCAGTCTCTGAAAGCTCTGCCTCTGTTTACTAAAACTTTGCTTTCTGTCCGAGGTTTCACTATCCTTTCCCTCATTAAAATCAGTCTCAGCTTCATTTTCAGACAGTTGCTCTGAGAAAAGCGGTGAAAGGCTTTTCTTAGGAATGTGGCCTTGTGAATCTTCCTGAAGCAGTTCAGGCTTCTTTTCCGATCTTAGCTCAGGCCCAAGCCAACCCCTCATCCTCAATCCCATCGGGAACATTCCCATCATGAACATCAACATGAACATCAGACACAATCACAGGCTGACATACACCATCTGATGGTTCATTTATTGTAATTTCTTTTTCTTGTAATGGTGCTAAGGACATAAAAAGGTGTATCCAGAGTAGGACATTTGGCTTAGCAGACGCTCAAAATATTGGGGGAAGTACAAATGGGCAAATGAAGCCCCCTTTGTTCCCCCATTCTATGATTTTATTCATACATAGCATCTCATAAATCATGAATGAGGTTTCCATGCCAATTACAAAAAATAGAAACAAAATCGTGGATAACATTTATGTTTTTTTTTTAAAAAAAAAATACTGTGGACCTTATAATGACAGCAGTGTCTCTCCTTTAAATATTTACACACACATTTTGTGTTTTTCAATCATGACACCAATACTGGTTTCCACTGTTCTCCAGAAAGTAATCAGATCAGACAGTTCTGGATTAAACTGGAATTTGGGACCATTTTTTCCCTTCAGTTCTCAAAATCTCCCAGCCAACATGGATATGAATGTATTGGCTAGTAGATTTGGGGAGTTTCTAGGAATTACAGTCCAAAACAGTGACCTTTTAAAACCCCTTGGGGTTTTTAAAAATGAAGTGGAAATCCATTCTCTCATTTATACATCTGCCAATTCTGGATTGCATTTTGTGTATGTAATAAGTGGACTCTAGCCTGTGAAATCATATGCCATATGAATTTTATTAAACTTCAAGGTGCAGCAAAATCCAATTTTTGATGTGTTACCATAACATAGCTGTTCCTCTGGAACCTGATTATTATTACTGTTTTCCCTTCCGACAGCTGTCCTTTTCTGCTCCCTTGATTGCCCAAGAAACTTGAGGGCTGGTATTTTTTGTGAGATTGTATCAATACTGCCAGCTTCTCAAACTACGAGTTCTTACTCTAATTGCATAAGCAGACATTTCTCCATCCTCAGGACATAGCTGAGCCAGTAACGCCCTTTTCAGAATGATCTAACACTGCTTCTGACTAGTTTCAACGAATTCTAGATCTAGACAATAGCTACACGGATTTCAGGGAAATTTCCATTGGTGGTGTTAACCTCAGTTGGCCTCTGCAGCAGAAATTGTGTTGTAGCAATGGTCCCCTGTAAAGTCAAAGCTTGGAAAAGTTACTTTTTAGACACTATCCCAGAATCCTCTAGCTCAGAGCTTTCCAAACATTTCATGTTGGTGACACATTTTAAGGCATGTATCATTTCACGACATAGTAATTCATTTTTATTAGCAAACCAGATGTTTGACCAAACCCTTATAAGAGATACAGAATCATGCATACATTTATTGCAACCCAACGTATCTCATGAAAACCTTTCATTTATATTTTTTAAAATATATGATCTTCAAGATAATATATGTTTCCAAGATTTTTGTCATTTCGCATTAAGTTTGTACAACATGCATACTGGAGCCAACACATTAACATGTCACGACACACAGTTTGGAAAACTCTACTCTTGCTGGTGGTCACATTGGCCTGGTGGTTTTTGGAACTGCAGCTCCAAAATTAACTTTTTCATACTGTACACACAAATACCTGAAGCTATCATAATGATAATATCTTATGTGTTAGTTTTTTGACAGTTGTATAGAAGCTGGAAATGTCTCCTCATTAGCCACCAAATTTTTGAAATTTGTCTTCTGTTAGAACAGAGATTCTAGTCTTCACTGTGTTTTGGTCTTCAGCTACCAGAAGCCTCAGCAACATTGACCAATGATCAAGGATTCTGGGATCTGAAGTCCAAAATACTTGGAAGACCAGAGTTTAGGAAATGCTGTGTTAGGAAATAACAACAACAACATTTTATATTCTGACCTATCTCCCCAAGGGGACTTAGGGTGGATCACAGTACGCATACACAGCAAACATTCAATGTCTTTTGAACATATAGGACAGAGACAGACAGAACAGAAAGGAGGTATGTTGTACTGATGTCCAGCTTTTTGGCGCCTTGGAGGTTGTGCTCGAATCCAGCCACAGGGAGTGCTGTTGTTCTATCCTCTATGATGAGGAGCCATCAGAACTTCCTCCTTCCTTTTGGTTGCAGGGCATTTTCTGATCTTTTTCTTTAATAGTGTTGTAAAATACCTCCCCCACTTGTTTAGCAGTACCTAATTTCTCTACTTACAGCTCTAAGCTGTTTTCGAACTGCTTAGGTAAACAATGAACTGGGCTGACAGTCATGCTGACCTGGGGCTTCGAACTGGCAACCTTTTGGTTGGTAGATCTTATTATTGCAGGTGATTTACCAGCTGTGGTAAAGCCCAGTCCAATGAATGTCACCAGGAACCTGAGAGACAGAACTGAGTAGACATTGGATGGAGTCCTTGAATGCTGCATGGTCCCACCTACTTCAGAGAAAGTTTTTCTTCAAAAATATCCAAGATGCATGCATAGAAGTCCAGCCTTCTTCGAGTTCTGCTTGTTTTTATTCATCCATGATAACTTGAGCCATTTATGTATGTTATAATTAAAACCTGAGCAATAGGGTGTAGCTTCTGTGTTTTTTAATTACCTGGATACATATAGCTAGAAAGGGATGAAAATAAATCTTAGATGCCTGAGAATCCACAAGAGCAACGTCTGCTCCTATAGCATAGTTAATTTGGAAGAGAAGAATGCATTCTAAGCAATAGATGCAAATAGGTTTATTTAATAGCCAGCTTGTGTCAGTTCATTGGGAATTGCCTGAAAGTGTGTTGGCTCTTAACTAGAATGAAAAGCAGAAGCATACAGAGTATTTCCAACTGAATTAGGACTGTGTTCTGATGAAGTTTGTATTGGATAAAATCAGTGAAATGACACTCATCCCTTCCTTTCTTGTGGGGCAAAGTATACTTGTTCAAGTCAACTGTCATTAAATGTATTTATTTTTATTTACTCCAATTCTACCCCCGCCTGAGAGGGGACTCAAGATGGCTTATAAATTTGCCAACAATTCAGTGCTGCACAGGTAAACAATAAAACACATCTCATAAAAATATAAACAATCTAAGCAAGTAAACAAAATTCATAACAATCAGGTAGATTAAAAACCACATATAAAATGCTGAGTCATGATCTCCTATCCAAATCGTTTTCCAAAATCCATAGTCCATTATTCAATCTGTTAAAGTCTCATTCCATAGTTTTCTATTCACCAAATACCTGCGTAAAAAGCCAGGTCTTAAGCCTTTCTACATAACATTCTCCCAACATTTTGCTACTGATTCAAAATGCATTGCAGGTAATAGTTTCCTCTTCTCTGTTTTTTTCCTCTAGCCTTGAAGAAAGACGATAGTGGCTTTGACGAGGTAAGTATCTCAAAGTTTTATTTTACTCATAATTAAGGTGCAACATGTCCACATAACCTGTGGACATGTTTGTGCGTGCTTCAAACTCTTTGATCTTCCTTGACTGAGGTGAACATTGAGATTTCAGATAGGAACACAAACAGTCCTATTAGACAGGATGCCTCTCATTTTGGGTTGAAGACGGGACAGGAAATTGTTATTTGTTTTGCTGTTGTTTTACTGCCAGCAATAGATGAAAAATCCTTATGTCTTTTATCAAATTTGGGATGTCATTAAAATTTTGCAAATCATTTTAAAATTCTTATAATGCTTTTACTCTCGGGAATGGGAAAATATGCTTGTAGGATTTTCTTCCACATGAGCAGACCTGCCTGCTATGTTACATATTTTGATTTGAAACTAGGTTAGGGTGGACACATTTAGATCATGTCTCCTAGTGAATAAAATGCTCTGAAATCCTAAAAACCGATTGATCCTTGTGAAAGACATACATGCAAACCACACTCTTGTCTTTGGTGTTTTCCATCCTCAACTGGGCAGCTATTTGTGGGAGATCGTCTCACTTGATAATCCAAGGTTTGTGCTATTGAAGGGTGTCCAAGATGGTTTGTGCCATCAAAGGGTGTCCTGATGACCAGGCCTTGGAAAAGTTGCCCTTTTAGACTACAACTTCCAGGCATGGATTGGAAATACCAAGAATTGAAGTTCAAAAGTGTAAATTCTGGGGGCGTATGAGTCACCTTGTCTGTTCAGGCACCTGATGGTATATGCTCTTTGTCTTGTAGGAATGCAGGCATTAATAATTTACAAGTCTTGAGGTTTTGTTATGAGCTTTATCAAGAGAACAGAGAAGCCAGTGGTGTGAAGCCTGAAGATGTAGAAGAATTTATTTTTCTATCCTCTAAGAGTGTGCTAGTAGTTTAATCCAAAACAACCAAATTGAACTTCCACCTGGATGAATAAATGAAAAGAAGAACGAATTCTGTCTGTAAGGCTTCTGCTTTTGCTTAGGAAATTTCAGCCAATACAGGATTTAAAAGTATTGTTGGAAATTTGGGAACTTGCCCTCCTAGATCAGCCTGATCCAACAAAGTATTTTATTTTGTATTAATGCCCCTCTCAGTGATTTAAGGTGCATCTACACCAGTGGTTCCCAGCCTTGATTTCACAAAAACTTGTGTAAGTCCCTAAAATTGGTGCTTGGGGAACATAAAGCTTTTTGGGTTAAAAGTAGGGTTTGGGAGTTAATTTTCTGCCAGATAAATATTTTCCCATTTATTGTTGTTGTGTGCCTTGTTTCTAACTTTTGGCAACTTTTATGGTGTTTTCTTGTCAAAATTAATTCAGAAGGAGGTTGCTATTGCCTTGCTCTGGGACTAAGACAGTGTAACTTGCCCAAGATCACTGAGCAGGTCTCCATGACCAAGCAGAAATTCGAACTCTGGTCTCTCAAAGCTCTAGTCCAGTGTTTCCCAACCTTTCTTTTTGACCAGGAACCACTTGACCAGGGACTACTCTCCAACATTAGTACAAAAGGGTTTTTGGTCAACTTTAGATTCGGTTTGGTTATTTGGGGTGCTGATTTAGAAAATGTCATTGGATAGACCACATCAGCTCTAGTTTCTGATACAAAATGTACGCCATCCAGTAGTTGCTATCTGCTTGCCCATTTTTAATAAACTAGAGCTAATGTGGTAGTAGTAATCTTTCGTGGGTAGTTAGCCTCTCCCCTCTGACATCCCCATTGCCTTGGCACTATAAGAGGGTTTTGCGAGACTGGTCGCTCTCGTTGCCTCATTGCTTTGAGGCAACAGTGTAGTAATGGTTAGGCTGGGGACCATATTTTTGTTCTTGTGGACCACAGGTTGGGAATCACTGATTTACACTGTAAGTGAATGCAGTTTGATAGCATAGCTCAATGCTGTGGAATCATGGGAACTGTAGTTTGGTGAGTCAACAGCAGCCTTTGGCAGAAAAGGCTAAAGATCTTGTAAAATTACAATTCCCATGATGACATAGTGTTGAGCCATGGCAGGTTTTTTTTTCTGTGTCAGAAGCGACTTGAAAAACTGCAAGTCGCCTCTGGTGTGATAGAATTGGCTGTCTGCAGGGATGTTGCTCAGGGGATGCCCGGATGTTTAACTCTCCTGTGGCAGGCGCCTCATGTCCTTGCATGGGAAGCTGGAGCTGACAGATGGGAGCTCATCCTGTCTTGCGGATTCGAACCGTAGACCTTCAGGTCAGCAGTTCAACTAGCGCAAGGGTTTAACTGATTGCACCACTGTGGCTCCTGCCATGACGAGAACCAGGAGAACCAATTTAGACAAGATAGGTTTAGTTCTATTTGTTTTCACTTTTTGTACATATAGCCTCCCTCGAAATACCAGAAGTGACTTCTGAGCATTAGCACTCTAATTGTTTTATAATAAATCCGGCTCATAAATCCCACAAACAAACCTGGATCAGTCTGTCCTTTTAATAGTATTACAAATCTGGCATGTTTTTGATGCTTTGTTCCTTCTTTCTGGAGGAAGCTAGATTGTTTACAACAAAATTCACAGGATGCAAGTAACTGAATACTGCAGAATGCAGAAAGAAAACATTGAACGTTTTGCCAATAACATTGCTTCAAAATTGAACCTTGCCTTTGTAAAATGTCTAAAGCTTTTAATATTTGTGCATGTGTGTATGTGTGTTTTGATTTTAAAACCAAAGCCCTTGATGTATTTAAAAACCATCTTTTGCCAGAATATGTACTGTTAATTGAGTGAATAAGAATTACAGGAATGACATTATGAGTGATCACTGAAGTGGAAAATAACTACCACCTGAAGCTTCTCCTCCTTGTTAACTCCTGTTCCCTCTCATAAAAACTGTGGCAAGGCAGAGAGGCAATGAGAGTACCTAATTTGTCTTTCATTGCATATGGAATATATTTTAATAATAATAATAATAATTAGCTCTTTAAAGTATTACTGTATGTTCAAAGGAGTTCAAAGAGGTTATCGAAGCAATCCATATAATAACCTGTAATATCAGCCAGCACAGGTTGGATATCCCTTGTCAGAAATACTTTGGAACAGAAGTATTTGGGATTTTAGGTTTTTTTAGGATTTTGGAATAAAGTTAACACTCTACCTTTGACCTTTACTGGTTTGATTATTCATGGATTTGATGAAAATGTTCTCTCCAGGGATCTCTAGGTCTTCCAGTATGGGTTGTTGTAGGTTTTTCAGGTTGTATGGCCATGTTCTAGAAACATTCTCTCCTGACATTTTGCCTGCATCTGTGGCAAGCATCCTCAAAGGTTGTGAGGTTCTAGTATGATCCTGTGGTCAGTTTCCAGTAGAAGTCAACCATAAAGTGCTGGAGGATCTAGAACTCTGTAGAGAAATGTTATCCCAGGTAGTAAAAATAGCAATTATATTCATGATTTTTCACTTTCACGAGGTTCCTGTTCCTATAACCCAGGCCTGGGCAAACTTGGGCCCTCCAGATGTTTTGGACTTCAATTCCCAGCATTCCTCACAGGGCCTGAGGCTGTGAGGAATGCTGAGAATTGAAGTCCAAAACACCTGGATGGTCCAAGTTTGCCCAGGCCTGGCTTAAACTCTTCGGATGCTGTCTGGAATGAAGCTGGGATAAAGCTGATACAACCATCGTCATCTATGCTGACGATCGTGCCATCACCGCTCAAGCAGGGAGCTTTAAGTTGGCTGAACAGAAGCAGCTGAGGGGGGAAAAGGAAAGCGTCTGAGACTGTTAGGAATTGTGAGAGTTGAAGTCCAACACATCTAGCGGGCCCAAGTTTGCCCAGGCCTACTCTACCCCCAGAGAATATGGAGGGATGTATTTGCATATATGTAAATATCTTGGAGATGAGTTTCCAAGTTTAAGTACAAAATCCATTTATCTTTCATATGCACCTTGTACATGAAACCTGAAAATAATTTTATGAACAATATTTTTTAATTTCGTGCATGAAATTACATTTGTGAACCGTAAGAAAGCAAGTTGTCAATATCTTAGTCACCCATCTGGACAAATTTTGGAATATTTTTGGAATTCCAGATAAGTGGTGCTGGAAACTATCGTATCTGTTTTCGTGAATTATGAAAAGTGGATGGAGGATGGAAAAAAACCCACGACTTGAAATACTTATTTCTGAGACTGGTTGGAGGATTATGGAAAATTCCAGTACACAAAAATACCAATTTTTAATGTATTGTCAAAGACCTTAATGGCTGGAATCACTGGGTTGTTGTGAGTTTTCCGGGCTGTATGTCCATGTTCCAGAAGCATGTCTACCAGTATTAAAAAAAACTCTAAAATCATAGCAGTAAATAAAGAACAACTCTCAAAAACTGGGGAATTCAGTAGAGGAGACAGTCGGGGCCAGCTAATCACCTCCCAACAGGGGATTCCCCCTGGCAGTAAGAAGCCAGACCCTGAAACTGCTAGGCCATTAAATGCTAATCAAGATGACCAGTTGAAACATTCATACCTACCTCGAACAGACAAGAATTTTTTCTCCCACCCTGGACATTCCACAGATATATAAACCCTATTTTCCTAGTTTTCAACACATCTCACAACCTCTGAGGATGCCTGCCATGGCCATACAGCCTGGAAAACTCAAGCAACCCACCAATTTCTAAGTTCTTGGAACAATAGGGGCTGGTTCAGATCTACTCAAACACAGTTCATTGCTGTGCTGATTTTTAATTATCTCCCATTCCTGGAAGTGACATCTCATCTTCTGTTGTACTATCTCACTACACTGCTGATGTCTTGACCTGCTGATTTCCATTTTAATAGAATGGTCTTAGGGCTTACACAGCATTTAAGATCGGCAACCTCTTGACTTGTGCAATTGGCATACAGGAGCACAGGACATAAGTTCTGCTTTCTCAGTGGAAGCAGGTCATATCACAGGTGACTTTGGCCCAGCTTGCTGTCAGCTCTCAGGGAAAGAAATGCTTAAGTAAGATAAATTCCCT